AGGCCTCGCTTCCGGGCTAGGTTCGCGGAGCCCTCTGGAGTCCGAGCCCCCCTTCTGGGGGTCCGCTCTAGCCCGGGTGCGCTGAGCGAACGCAGCCAGCCGGGGCCGATCGGGTAAAGCATCCTTAAGCGAACGGGGGCGTTTGGCAGCGTGTGAACCCTTGCAGGCAGTGGGGCGAGAGTGCGGTTGTGTCTCTCTTTGTGGCGTTGGTGTCTTGCTCAAACTTGGAGTGGCTTTCGTTAATAATGCCTAAAGCCGGAACATGTGGATCTATAGTCATAAAACCGTTTTAGTTAGAATAGTGCATCATGAGGAAGATAAAAGGTGATCCTCTGCTACAACTTTTCAGGTTCCAAATCTTGTTGAAAGATGGCTGATGTGGGTCTTCCGGGCTGTGTGGCCATGTTCTGGAAGTTTTGGTTCCTAACGTTGAAAGAGATCGGGGGCTCCATTAACAGCAAAGGCAGCATCCAGATATCTGGGGCAGATTATTCTTTCTTGATCCTGGTGTGGAAAACTGACATTACTGTACAAAGGTTGCGACCACAGTATGCACTTCACTCATCTATTGAATTGAACCATTCTTGGGTTGGTACAGTACATGTAAAACCACAAAAAAGCTAACCATAGTTCAAACTAGCCAGGATCAGTATGTTCTGAAAAGGCAGTTCTGATTTCTAACCCAGTGAAACATGTTGTACAACCTAGCCATCAAGTCACTTTTTTTATGACTGGAAGCTTTTTCCTGAAGACTGAGAAATTTCCTCACTAGACATGCTACACAGTGCATGCCCAGAATCGGAACTATTTTTTTCTATTTTTCCTATTTGTTCACTTGATATCAGTGGGGAGGAGACTCTGTGTCTTGGCCCTGGTCATCTTTTAGGCCCTAACCTTAACCCTGGCCTCTTTTCCGTGCACGCTCTGACTTCCAGCATCTCATCCTTAACTGCATAAGTGGTGCTCATTTTCATTGCTCTTGGACAGGGATTGGAGCCTATGCAATGTCTGTCTACAGGCTGCTTGTCTTCTGATCTTTGAGAAGAAAATGTTTAGGCTGTCAACTCTCTCCATCCACCATGCAGAGCTGCAGTGCCCTCCCTCCCCATGCCAGACAGTGTGCGGAGGATGTTCAGAGATCAGGAAGAGAAGGAAACAGTGGTGGATGACAGCAGTAAACATGGAGGCCGCCTGCGGACATATCCTCATGAACGAGGCAACTGGGCAACCCATGTGTACGTACCGTGTAAGTCTCTATGTTTCTCCCTTCTCTTCCCTGAGAAAGAAGTGGAAGATTGGCCCTTCCGTTGGGAATCTACATGGTTGTCTTGAGCAAAGTGCAACACTAGAATGTAGCTTTCTATGTTTCTGATCTGCCTAGAGATCTAACATTTCCAAACATTTTTGAAGCAGTTTTGGGTTTCTGAAAAAAATGTAATAGGTCTTGTATACTTTTTCTTGAATATGTCGTGTTTTGTGCATTACTTTTCCCTAACAGGTGCTTTGTTGACTGGAGAGGTGCACTGCAAAATTTGAGGAACTGCAAACACTTTTTTATTTATGCCTAGGTAGTGCAATAAAACATAAACAAAACTAATTTCTCCCCATTAAGAATCAGAATGTCACTACTGAGAAGGCCTATAGTTGAAAGCGTTTTGTGTAATAGGCTCAGGCTGGCAGTATTACCCAAATGCTGTACACAGAAGACCAAAGCAAAGGTTCCAAGGCAAATATATTGGTCTAGGACTTTTCTGATTTGTTTCTTATTGACTTTTTACTATAACACAATATGTGCAAAAACAGTTTGTTCAGAAGTTCTGACAATTATTTTTGCTTTCTTTGACAACATGACTAGATTAGTGGGCCAAGGGAATGCTGTGGATGTAGCATACTTAGGTTGTTTCAGTAAGGGCATCTGATAAATCACACCACAGCCTCTTTCTTGATAAACTGGAACAATGTGGGATGGATGGTCCCGCTACCAGGTGGATTCACAGTTGGGCTGAACAGCCGTAGCCAACATGTGGTCTTTTATGGGTCTGTGTCTGCATGGAGGGAGGTATGCAGTGGGGT